GCCATGTCAAGGGTGCAGAGCCTACTCATTGGGCATGAGCTGCAAGGACTGAAATTTCTAGTTGACCTGAAGCCCTCTATATCAAGCCTCTCTAGAGGATCTATTTGGTACTATGCTGTTTCTTCTAGAAGCTCGCCTGCCGCAAGAAACCAGACTGCAGCCATCTCTGCCTGCCTGGGCCCCTGCCCTCCCTACTCTGACCACTTCTGAAATCCTCACATACTTGTGGCCTTCCTGTCCATACCCAGGTAGCCCCATCAAAGCCTTATCCTGCCTTGCAGTCATTGTCACGAAAATTCTCTGGCACTTTGCTTCCAGGCTCGGGGCCTCTGTTTGGGCTGCCCCCCTTCTTTCTGCTTGGTGAGATGCATGAAGATGTTCCCAGGGATGAGTCCCTCCCAGACAGCCTTCTCTCCCTCCTACAGCCCACTCACCCTACACCTTCCTCACTGGGTTCTCTCACCAAAGCACACACAGAATTTTAGTTTGGGGGACTCTCCTACCTGTTCTGGATTCAAATTGAATTTCTGACTTTCTGACTTTCTGGTACTGGGAGAATGTCTTATCTTTAAATGTACTGAAAGTTACTTTCCTAAAGTCTAGGGAAACATTTCTGAGGAATATGTCATTTGCCAGGTGCTGTGCTTAGAGCTGAGGAGGCTATGCAGGTGAATGAAACCCAGTCTTGTTTGTGTGGAGGAGACAGACTGGTGAACAGGTAATGTGGACGCAGATTGTCATATTAAAGGTTGCTTCAAAGGGCCCCTCACTCAGCTTGGGGTCCTAGAGAAGGTGACAACTGAGCCAAGTCTTAAAGGGTAAGTGTAGAGGACACCAAGAGCCAGATGACCTCTGAGCAAGATGATTTACAGGGTGTGTGTGTGTGGGGGGGGGACCCTCGGGCCATTCATCAGCAGGTGTTCCTTGTGGAAGAGTGGGAGCCTTCAGCACTTAGTCTTTTGTTAATTACTTCCCTCACCTGTGTTGTACCGTCTCAGTAAAAGGCTAGTGTGGAGGTTGCTCGAGGCTATCCTGCAAAGAAGGGCTAGCCTGCCTCCTACAAGCTTGTACTTCTAATCTGTGTCATGCCTGGTTCCTTCCTGCGGTGATGACCAGGGCCGAGGGGTTGTGACAGATAAGCAGGAGCTGGGTGAAAGCTGAGGCTGAGGGTAGCGACAGGGAGTCATGAGCAGTGACAGGATAGAGGGGAGTGTGGCAGGCTCACAGGAAGTAGTCAGAGGGACCCAGAAGGCCCTGGAAAGACAAATTAAGGACTCCACACTTTTATCATGAGCCAATGCAGGAGCCATTGGTGGGTTAGAAACCAGGAGTCATGAGGTCTGGTCTGCATTTTCCAAGGTCCTTTCTGGAGTAATAGTCAAAAGGTGGCACTGGAAATTGGGCTGAGTGGCTGGATGCAGGAATGAGGGACACAAAGTCAGGCTGGCTCTGTATTCTAGATGCATGGTGGTGGGAATTCTCCAAAATATTCCCACAAAGCTGTATCTTCTCATCTTCCTTCATTGAAATCTCACCCCAAATCTTTTCAGGATGATGCACTTTGGGCGACCACTGCATTAAATGGCTTTTTGGAACAAGAGTTCTTCTTCCGTGATTGTCACCATTTTTTGGATGTTATCTCCTGTTCAGAGGCCTTTTCTCCTCACACCTACCACCCACTGGCAAGCTTAGGCCCTGCCCCTCATAAGGCCCTGGTAGACTGAGAGTCACTGCCTCCAGAACATCAATTTCTTCCTACTAGGGTTTAGAATATGACCAGTGGTGGTGGTGGGACTAAGAGTGACTGCCTGGGAAAACAAGTAGACTCAGACAAGCCCGACAGGTCTTTCTGCCATGTTGGCTGCAGGGAGGCTGATCTGCAGAGGATGATGTACAGCGGGGAGAGGCCTCAGCCCAGAGGGATGGTCTGAGGCAGAAGCAGCAGCCACCTGACAGATTTCCTATTCTGTACTTTGAGTCTCCTAAGGCCTCTGGACACCAAAAGATGCCCATGTCCCTGTAATAAATTCTTACTTTTCAAACTCTTCAACCAGCCCAAGTGGGTCTTTGATTCTTGCCATCAAAAGAGTATTGATGTCACAGCTAGCTGTGCCCTAGCCTTGGTGATCTGATATGTGGGTCTTTGTCCCGTGGGTTGGTTTAGGACCCATTCCCAGGGCACAGCATGGACAGCAGAGGCGAGAGAAGAGGGACCCATCTGCTCAACTGCTGTTTCCTGGAGAGCTGCTGAGCAGCTCCTCCACCCTGTTCCCAGTGGGGCTGTGCAAGGCAGCCAGAGGGGCCCAGGTGTTTTCTGGGGGACAGAGCCCCTCCCTTTCCTCTGGCCTGCCTTTGCCTCCTCCTTCCCCACCATGTGGCTTCAGGTTTGGGGAAGATCAACCTTCTGGGGATGTATGAGTTGGGGTGAGAACGTGGCCCCAGGAGGTTTTCCTAGGGTAACTAGAAGCAGCTTATCCCAGGTTAACCAAAGAATCCCCCCACAAACACACACCAAACAGACAAAGAATCCCCCACAGAGGGCAGAAGGTCCCAGGGGGTCAGCTGGAGGAGGGGAAGTACAAGTGTGCCCATATGGCTCCCTTTCTCCCCTTCCAGAAGCCCACCAGCCCCGCCCTTTTGCCCCAAGAGCATCTCTACTGGTGAGCTGCCCCACAATTTTTGCCTCCAAGGAGTTTAATTATAGCAATGGCTTTGCCTCTGCCCAGTGCCTAGGGCTGAGCCCTGAACCCCACTTGCTCTCCCAGGGGGGACTGGGAGTATAAGGAAGTGGGGGGATGACTGGCCAGTCTGATGACAGATTGACCCACCACGATCCTGCCAGGGAAAGAGACCTGTGGTGGTGACTCCTGGCCTGGCCACTGACTCAGGAAATCCCCCTCTTCTGTGCTTCAGTTTTTCCACCTGTCAAATAGGCAGGTTCAATATCTCCATCAACTCTCCTGCCCCAGGCTGAGGAAGAGGCTTGGCATGTTTTTGATTTCTCTTGGGGAAAATCTTACCTTCAAAGTGCAGTGTTGTTATTACAGGCACTTAGGAAAACAACAGTGGCCAATGATTGACTTGATTACAATAATTGAGAGGAGAGAGGGGTAAGAATAAAGCCCAGGGCCTGGGCCACTCACTGACTTCTCAAGTTCCTGAGATTTCCAGTCTAATCCCCCTCCTCAAGAAGCTGGGGCCTAAAGCCTCCTACCACTAGTGCACCCACATCCAAAAATACAAAAATGCCTAAATGACTGTTGGGAATTGCACCCCAGGTGGATTATCTCAAGCTGGTGCAGGCTGTGTCCATCCTGCTGGTGATGTAGCTGGTTAGAAAGTGGTTTCAGTGGGAGTCACTCTTTCTGACAGTTGGCAGAAGGAGGATGGAGGGGCAGGGAGGCTCTGGAGAGTCCACCCCTATCTAGTGGTAGCTTCCAGGGACCATAAGCCCCCAGCACAGGTGTCAGGCTCAGGTGAGTCAGGTGGAAGGGCCATGGGTCGGAGAGAGGTGGGCACAGCCATAAGCAGAATGGTCAGGGGCCTCCCTCTGCACACAGGGGTTAAGCTGGCCCTGGACCCTCGCTGGGGGCCACAGCCTGGTCCCACTGGACCTGTCTGCCAGGGCACCGCCACTCCACTCCTCTCTGCAACCCTGATCCTCATCTCTGAATCACCCTTTGATGAGGCGCCATTTCTTGTCTATACCCCGTTATTAACTGGACTGTGGCTTCTCCCATGTACTCTTGCTCCCCACTCCGAGAAGACTGCAGGGGCAACAGTAGAAGGCAAGAACTCTACTGCCAGCCCAGCCCTGACTCAAACTTAGTTCCCTTCTTCACTGCTAACCCTGCCAGGAGCAGCTGAACATCCCTGGGCCTCTCAGAGACCACAGACCAGTCCCGAGTCACTGCTCAGGGCTGAGTTTGGAGTCACAGGAGCCACACACCCAACAGCTCCCTCCAGGGCTCCCAAGGTAGGGGGCAGGAGTTGCCATGTACCCTCACAAACTTCTATTACTTCTTTATACACAATGAACACATGGTTAATGCATAGAGATTAGGTAGCACAGATGAACAAAAGGGAATTAAAAATTGCCCAGGATCCCCCTAGAGATGGTCAGTGCTTTACACCTTTATTCCATGCAGTGTTCTGTTACCTCCTATTTGCACTTATTAATGCATTGTGAATAACTTTCAGGTGAAAAGAGACATTTCCCCATGATTTTCCTTGATGACTACCCAGTGTGTCATGGGGAATGCTCATTTCACCAGCTTTTTAGGAGTAGCTTTCAGACAGGATGTCCTCCATCTCTCCAGCAATACTTCCCCACCACCTGCTCAGCCACCGGCAACCTTCTGGGTATACCCCTGATCAATCCTCTCAGCTGAAGGCTGGGTGCTGTCTGGCTAAGCCAAAGGGCGCACCTCTGCTGGGATTTGCTCTCCCAAAGGACTGTGCTTGTCAGACTATGCCTCTGTTCTAGGTTGGCCTGGCAGTGGCTGCTGGGTGTGACTCATGGGGACAGAGCAAGCCCAGAGGGTTCAAGGCCTATGAGTCTGGCCTTAAGCCCCTTATGCCAGGGCTTCTTGAAGTGACTGTTTTCTCAGGCTCCGGATTGGGCTGTTGGGGCCAGGCATGGAATATAATATTTGAAATTAGGCCACCCTGGATAATGCAGAGCCACTGAGTTGCCCCCTGGACCCAGCTCAGAGACAGCTCCTGCCTGGGAGGACCTGGGGAAGGGAGAGGGAGCCCAGGCTTCAACCCAGGCTGCCAAGGGCGGGCCAGCCTGGCCCTGCCCCCCTACCCCAGGCCTCCGCCCCTATCCTTCCTACACTCAGGGCAGCAGCCCAGGCAGCTCTGGAGCCCAAACCTGTCAGGCCGGTTTAGAGAGCTGTGGAGTGGAGCTGCAGGGACAAGGCTGCCAAAGGATGGACGGCTTGCCTCGCGCTCGCCTGGCTCCCTCCTGAGGTCCTGCTGCCCACCCTCCAGACCCCATGAGGCACATACCTGGCCTCCTGGTGCCCCTGCTGGGCCTGGGCCTGGCCTTGACTCTGCCCAGGGCAGCAGCTGCAGACTGCGGGCTGGTCGGCCAGGCTAAGCACCTGGTGTTCTCCAATGTGGCCAGAGCCCGGTGGCTGGCCCCTCGTGTCCGCACACCAGGGCCCCTGGACTCCCTGTATGGCACCGTGCGCAGCTTCCTCTCTGTCGTGCAACCCAACCCCTTCCCTTCAGGTGAGTGTGCTCCTGCCCCCCAGTGAGCCCCAGCAGATGCCAGGTCCCTGGTTAGCCCCTGTCCCCCTTCCTCTGTGGGTGTGCCCACCCTCTGAATGGGCACTTGGGGGGCAGGAGCCCGGCATTCCCCACCACTGGCTTCCTTTGCAGTAGTGCTAGGGCATAAGGGGCAGCATGTGGAGAGGGCTCCAGAACCTTCTCATGTGACCTTGGGCAGTCCCCTTTCCCTCTCTGAGCCTCGGCTCCTGTGTCTATAAAGTAGAGGAGACTGCGTTAGATGTATATTACATTAGACCTGGCTCAGACATTCTCTGAGTGGTGCTAGGGTTTGGGGGGCCAGGAGAGACTGAAGGACCCTGCGAGGCCTGTCCCCTGCCACTGGAGGGGAAGGACTGCTAAGCCAGTCCTGTCCTCTGCCTCTGTCCAGGCTACAGAGAGTCCTGCTGTAGGGTCCGGGAGGAAAGTCTGCGGCCTCCCCCTGGCTGCTCCCTCCTGCAGCAACTCTGAGGCCTGGGCAGGATGGCACAAGACCGTGGTGACACTGCCTTCTCCAAGGGTGTCATGTTGGTGGAAGTGGCCCTATCCCAGAGCCTACCTTGGCCTGGCAGTGGGTAGAGGGTAGAGACAGGGGCAGGGTGGTGGGGTGGTGGCTGTCCCCAACCCCCACTTGGCTCTTTCTGGTAGAGTTGGTGAAGGCCCTGCTGAATGAGCCAGCCTCTGTGAAGGTGGATGAGGTGAGAACCAAGGGAGGTGCTGGGCAGAGGCGGGAGAGTCCAGAGATGGGCAGGGCAGAAAATCTTCCACTCAGAATCCACCAGGGTGGGGGCTCGGGTATCCTTTCCCTGCTATGGGCACTGGAGTCGGGAGACCTGGGTGCAAACCACAGCTCTGCCCGTTCCCAGCAGTGGAGTTTGCTGTGAGCTCAAACTCTGTGAACTTTAGTTTCTCACTTTGTAAGATGGTAATGGACAGTGAGAACGCTGTGCACCCCATGAGTAGGCTCCATAAGATGTAGGCACAGGCCCATAACCTTTGCACTCCCTCCCTCCTGGTTTCCCTCTGGACCCAGGTGGGAACTGAGGCCAGGGTGGAGGGATGGCCTCTCATGCCTGATGGCCCTGCCCAGGTTGTGCGGTACGAGGCGGGCTATGTGGTGTGTGCTGTGATCGCGGGCTTTTACCTCCTGGCAGTGCCCATCGCTGGGCTCTGTTTCTGTTGTTGTCGCTGCCACCGGCGCTGTGGGGGCCGCCTGAAGATGGAGCACAAGGCGATGGCCTGTGAGCGCAACACCCTCATGGCCTTCCTGCTGCTGATCACCCTCGTGCTGCTGTGAGGGGCTGCCCTGGGCAGGCGGGAGGGCTGGGCCATGGCCCAAGGCTCCCATGGACACCCAACAAACACATTCCTCTTCCCCTCCACCCCTACAGGATTGGCGTTGTCTGTGCCTTTGTCACCAACCAGCACGTGCACAAGCAGATCGGCCCCAGTGTCGAGGCTATGCCTGAGACCCTGCTCAGCCTCCGGGGCCTGGTCTCTGATGTCCCCCAGGTGAGCACCAAGTAGCCCCCTCATGCCCATATGTCCCCATGAGCACCAGGCAGGACAGAGCAAAGCGGATCTCTGTGGGCTTGAAAGCAGAAACACTGTTCCTCCTCTTTGCACCCGGCTGCCCTGAGGGAGAGTTGCTATACTACATAAACGTACCTATGGTGGCCTCAGGGTGGATACCCAGCTCTGGGGCCAGGGAAGGGGCAGGAGTTGGGTCTGTGGCGTGACAGGGAAGGGCAGCCTCATAGCCCTGTGTTTGCCTAGGAGCTGCAGGCAGTGGCGCAGCAGTTCTCCCTACCTCAGAAGCAAGTCTTACAGGATCTGGATGGTGAGGGTCACAGCTGCTGGCAGGGCCCCTTCTTAGACTGGCTGGTGATGGGGGTGGGGGAGACACTCACTCTCTCCGCCCAGATGCCAGCTGGGACTACCCTGTCTAGGGTGGAGGGGTGGGAATGGGGCAGGATGGAAAAACCAGTGCCCACTCTGCAGAGCCCAGTGCCCAGTGGGGGAGGCTGGATGGAAGGGTGGGGAGGCCCTCCACTCTGGGGGGCCAGCCCTACAGACTTCTCTGTGCTCTGCAGACTTCGGCATGTACACTGGCAGCATGATCCACACTGAGCTTGGGAGCACTGTGTACCCATTGCTGGCCTCAGTGCACAGCCTGGGCCAGGGTGAGTTGGACCTATGGGCTATGTGGGTGTGAGGCCAGCAGGATCCTCCTGGGGCGCGTCCACCTTCACCCAGCTCTGGATATCTGGTGCCACCTCAGCTCTACCCATGGTTTCCCCTTCCCATTACCCTGAGATCCTCTGTCCTCCTGTATCCCTGCCTAGGTCCTGGCTTAATGTGCCTCAATGGTTTAATGTGCCAGGGGCAATTTCCATTGTAACTACAGATGTCAAGGATAGCAAGGTGCTTTTGGTTGGATGGAGAGAGCATGGTTTGCCTCCCTCAATGCCTCTGAAGGTGTGGGTGACTGCTCAGGTTGGATGTGGGTCTCTCAGCCCTGCAGGCCTCTGTGGACAACCTCCAGGCTCTGAATTCCTTCACTGTGGAGCTGCGGGCAGCACAGCAGGACCTGGAGCCAGCAGTCCGGGAGCACCGGGAACGCCTCCGCACCCTGCTGCAGAAGCCGGAGTGCCAGGGGGACTGTGAGGGGGTCCTGATTCGGGCCCAAGCCCTGGAGCTGGGTGCTGATTTCAACCAGGTGAAGCCTTAGGACAGAAGTCTCCTAGGGCTAAGCAGGCCACCTCTGCCAGCTGCCTTGGGCATCTGATGGTCCAGGGGCTTCCTGAAGAGGAGGATTCCTGATCCCCTTTTAGGGAGGCCTCTCCCTTTCTCTGTGTACCCATGACCAGTGACAGTCATCCGGGCAGTGGGCTACAATCTCTCCTTTGGCCACACACTGTACCATAGCTGCACCTATATTAGCTCTTTGAGTTCTTACTGCCCCTGACAGAGTGGTAGGGCCTATGGTGGTCAAGATTTTATACTTGAGGACAGGAAGGGTTCAGAGGCTTCTGACCCTGTTCTCCTCCCTCAGCCCTCTCAGTGCACTTGGTCATAATCTCCCCATTTCAGGTACCCTCAGTGGACAGTGTCCTCCATCGGCTGAAAGGTGTCCCAGAGGCCAACTTCTCTAGGATGGTTGAGGAGGTGAGTGCCCACCTGGGCCACCTGACTTCTCCCTCACCTAGAGAATCACAAATAAGGGCCTCACTTCCCCTTTGGGGAGCAGCAATCCAGTTGAACTTGAGACTTGGGGCCTCACATCCCACGTGGCATCCTGGGACGGAGGCCTGCACACGGAGTGGTCTCAGAAAGGAAAGCTAGGGCCCTCAGGGTGGTGGGGTGCTGAGGTGACATACAAGTGAGTGCTCAGGCCCGCAGATCCTGGGAGGGCAGGCAGATGGAGATGGCGGTGGGGGAGGGTGCAGTATGAGTCAGCACCTGTGACCTGGGACCTACAACTGGGGAAATGGTGAATCAGCCATGCTGGGTGGCTGGAGTGGAAGGTTCTGAGAGAAAGGAGGTGGGAGGTGGGGCTGGAAGGGTAGGTAGAAGCTGGGCTTTCAGTAGATAGACCTGGCAATTGTGTGCAGGAGGCTGAGGGTTAACTGCTGTGGTCTAGGAAGAGGGGTGGGGTTAGGAAGGAGAGGTGTACAAGGAGAATATTTTGGGGAGTTGAGTCAGGCTGGGTTGAGGGAGGGGAGAGGAAGACCAAGAGAGCAAAGGGAAATCTGTTCCCTGAGCTGGGAGCACTGAGGGGAGATGCCCTCCCTCTGAGCCTGCTGATTTCAGTGTCCTCCAAGAGGGGACACTGGGCAGAGTGGAGAGGCACAGCCCCACTTGGTTCCCACAGGAGAATAGCACCTTCAATGCCCTCCCAACCCTGGCTACCATAGAGACAGCCAACATGATCACAGGTGAGGCCCCTGGCTGCCTAGCATGCCACTCCTATTGAGGGGGCTTTTTGAAAGAGGATTGGGGTAGGGAAGTAGGGAAAGCCATCCTTCTTGGCTGGGCTCCAGCACAGAGAGAAGACCCTCTGTGTGTCCCAGAAGTTCTTCCTCTCTACCCACCCGGTCCCTGGGCCCCTGTGTGCCCTCCTCATCCCACAAGCTCCTGTTGCTTTGGACAGAGCTGAAGAAGGCAGTGGCTCAGCAGCCTAAAGGGCTGAGGACACTGGTTGAAGCCTTCCCGGGCTCAGAGGCAACTTCCCGGTGGAGCCAGACACTGGAGGAGCTGGAGCAGAACAGCCGCCCCTACCTGCAGGAGGTGCAGAGATATGAGACATACAGGTGCCTGAGGTCCCATGGGTTGTGGGCAAGATAAGCAGCCCAGCCTCTCCTCCACCCTGACCTCATTTCTAGTCCTATCAACCCCTGCCCATGCTGAGTCTCTACTACCTCCTTTAAGCTAAGATCCCTGACTCTTTGGGCATCCTTGTCGCAGCCTGGCTGTTTGTCCCTGGGACCTGAGCCTGGGGACCCCATAAGAGCAGTGGGGCCTCAGGAAGTGTTTACACACTTGCACTTCTAAAATCCCAGCCTTGGGGTTTAGAGGCCCTTTAGCCAATAGGTCCATCCAGCGCCCGCTGCCTCCCTCCTCCTTGACACCCACACCCTCTTTGTGGCAGGTGGATTGTGGGCTGCGTGCTGTGCTCCATAGTTCTTCTTGTGGTGGTCTGTAACCTGCTGGGTCTCAACCTGGGCATCTGGGGGCTATCTGCCAGGGAAGACCCCAGCCACTCAGAAGCCAAGGGCGAGGCTGGAGCTCGCTTCCTCATGGCGTAAGAAAGGACCCGGGACAGGGGAGGGATTTCTTCCCACTGGGCTGGCCAGATTCCTGCCATACCCAGGGACAGTTTCTGGTGTGGTTAGGGGAGCCAAGTCATAGGAGTCTGGAGACTGGGCTTTAATGCCGGCTCTGGCACTGTCCGACTGGGTGACGCTGGGAAAATTACTGACCCATCTGGGCCTCAGTGTCCTCATCAGTATAAAGGGGTTGGAGAGAGCAGGAAAAGCAAATAAGAGGCACTTCCCCCCCCCCACACTCTTTCCCACTGAGTCCAGCCACAGCCTCAGGATCCTTCTTAACCCATCTCCAAGCAGCCACCACCAACACTAGGTGGGAGCACCAGAGGCAGAATCTGTTTGCCATCCTTAGGTTAGATAGTTGTTAAGACCAGGGCTGCCATATACAGTTGTGCAGGTTGTTCACTACATGAGGGTACCTGGCCAAAGGGGTCAGTAGGGGCTGAAATCTACCCTGAGTTTCACTCTCCAAGGCTCAAAGCCTCCACAGGGCTGTACCCACTCACAAAGAAGGCCTGCATGTCAGAGGTCTAAGGATCTTTACCACGTGGGCCTGTGGAGATGTTGCCCCTGCCAGTGGGTCATGCCAGTGGGTCACCCTCAAGGTGACCCTTTTGAGGGCTGGGTTCTGAATCAGGTCACCTCCATGGGCTCTGGGCCCAGAAGTGAGTAGTTCTGGCTCTTCAAACAAAGTATCTGTCCTTTCCTTTAGTCTGCCAGCTGGGGTGGTGCAAGGATGAGGGGACAGTCAGGATTTCAATCTCCCTCCGGCCACTAAAGGCTCTGCCTGGGACCACCTGGCTGACCACACAGCCTGGGATGTGGGTGGGGCAGATACTGTGGTCCAGGGTAGCCAGTCTCCACTCTCCCTCAGCCCATCTCTCTCTTCCCCAGAGGCGTGGGCTTCAGCTTCCTCTTTGCTGCCCCACTCATCCTCCTTGTCTTTGCCACCTTTCTGGTGGGTGGCAACATGCAGACGCTGGTGTGCCAGAGCTGGGAGAGTGGAGAACTCTATGAGGTGAGACTGGCCCTGCTACCGGGTGGTATGGGAAGAGCAAGAGGGTCAGGGGGACCCAGGAGGAATGAGGACAGAGAACCACCAATGGATGGGATTGGGGAGAGAAAGAATTCGTGAGCCCCTGGGATGCTGCCCAGGCCCCAGGGCAGGGACCCTCGGGGATTCCTCTAGACCTGAGCCTCTTTCCTCTGAACACTGAACCTGGGAATAGGGAGGTCTAGTGCCCAGCAGGTGAGCAGAGATGCTGGCCTAGGCTCTCTGCCAGCCACCTCTCCTTCAGATCCACAGGAAGAGTGCCTGTAGGGAGCTAGGGCCCCGGGGTAATTGGAGTTAGAGCTGGGTTTGGGCTGGAGTCATGGAGTATTTCCCATCTCTGGTCTCTGCTATGCCAGGGTGGCCTGGAGCTGTGGGATCTGAGAGGAGAGCCTTGCCTTACCCTCCTCTGTGCCCCATTTCTCCCTTACCCCATCCCCAGTTTGCAGATGCCCCAGGGAACTTGCCCCCATCAATGAATCTGTCCTACCTTCTTGGTCTGAAGAAAAACATCAGCATCCACCTGGCCTACCAGTGAGTGGGTAGTTGGGACTGGAATTGGGGAGGACAGAGATTGTGTCCCTCCTGTTAGGGTGACTGCAGTCCCCACCTGCCATCCCTTGTTGCCCATCTTCAGTGTCCATCGTTCCTCCCTAGGCAGTGCAAGGAAGGGGCTGCGCTCTGGAGAGTCCTGCAGCTCAATGACTCCTATGACCTGGAGAAGCACCTGGATATCAGCCACGTAAGAAAATGTTCCAGAATGCTGTGAGGAGCCTTCCTGTACACTCCTCTCCTCTGGCCTTGGCTCTGGAGAGGCACTGTGTCTTTGAACCTGAGAAATTTGCATGTGTAATTGAGGTGCCTCAGGGTAGAGGCCCAGCTCCCCAGCCAAGGAGAAGGCTCTGGCCAGCTCTGAGCACAGATGAGGTGATAGCAGGAACCAACAATAGCAGTGAGCAAGTGGGCTTGGGAGTTTGTGTGTACTGAGGACAGGCATTGGTTAGGGTATTCCAGTGGGAAGAGGAAAGCTGGCCAGGTGGTAGTAGCGGAAGGTTGTGGTGAGACCAGGTAACCCTGGTGGAGGTTCACTATAGGCCTCTGCCCAGCAATAGGTAAGGGCGGCAGGATCCATCCCTAGCCCAACTTTAAGCCTTTTCCTATAACCACTGGGTTTTCCTGGAACTTGGGATGTAGAACAGGAGATACTTGCTGATGCTGGCAAGAGATAGTTCTAGAACATAAGAAAGGAAGGGCTACTTTACAACAGGGATGTACTTTGAGAACGTGGTTCTCCTAAAGGTGTACAGAGGCTGTAAAACATTCCTTCCTTTCCTCTGTCCACATCGAAGTGAGGTAGGAGAAGGCCTGACTTCCAGGGCCACTGGGGAGCCACTGCTAAGCATATCCTGGGGAAACCCACATCGCCACGTCCTCTAGTGCACACAGAGCATTGCCTGATCTTGACTCTGCAGAGTCCCCCAAATCCTCTCCAAGTCCTCTCAGATCCCCCACCCAGTCTCAACCCATGGGGTAGCACTGCCAAGCAGGCCAGTCCCAACTCCACACCTTAACCTGCATAACCTGGGACAGTTGGCTTAATGCCACAACTTACCCTTCCTTTATCCATCTTTAACAAGTCAGAGCCGGTGACATCTCATGGCTAGACCAGAGACACCACCCCATGGATGAAGCCGGGCCAGAGAGTGCTGCAGTAGGGCCCAGGGCAGAGTAGGCCCATGTCCTGCTGACTGGAAGTCCCAACTTCCAGATGGAGGGGTCTCTGCCCTGGCTCTGGGAGGGGTTCAGGTGGACTGGGCAGTGCTCAAAGGTCATATGGCAACAGGTCAAATGTGACCTTAAGGATCTTTGTCCTCATTCATAGGAATTCCTTGGAATGTGTTGTTAAAAAAAAAAAAAGAAAGAAAAAGGGGGAAAAAAACCCCCAAAGAATCCTCATTCTCAAAGGAGAGAGTTAAGAACTGATTGTGCAGAGATAAATAAGACAAGGTGTGTTTTCCAGGGCACCAGGAAGGCAACGCCGCCTTCATACACCGCTGTTTGCCTATGGCCAGTGCCTGAAATGCTGCCCTAAGACCCCACCCCTGAGAGGGGTAGGTCTTTGTCCCTCTGGGGAAGGTTGCCTGGTGGGAAAAGAAGAGAGGAACAGAGCCAGGGCGTGGTCATTACTCACACTGTAATCTCCTTTCTGACCTCAGTTTCTCAGCTGTGAAACACTGAGGCTGAATTTTGTGGCCTCCAAACCTCTTCTGCTGATGGTAGGAAAATGCCAACAGTCTTCTCTCATCTCCATTTATTCATCAACACAGCAAATTTATACCTTGCCCCCCACATGTAGGCCTCTGCACTACATGTCAAGGGGTTGGGGCAAAATAGGCAGGCAAAGTCTCCCTCGTGGAGCTGATGGCCATGAACCAGTACCCAAATAGATAAGGCAATTCCAGAGAAGCAGATGCTATGAAGGCCTTAAAGCAGGTGATGCCATAAAGAGGGGCTGGAAAAGCCATATTGTGTCAGGTGGTCTGGGAAGGTTTTGTGTAGCAGCCTGGTAGCCAGACAGGTGCTGGAGAAAGTCCGAATCTTGGCAGTTTGGGTTAGAGGGACAGGATCCTACTTGGAGCTTGTCTGGGGCTGGGGGTGTGTCCAGGGTAGGGGCCTAGATATCTGGGAGGAGGGCCCTGCCAGCCCAGTGACTCTACTTGTCAAGTGTGGAGACCAGATGTCAGGGTCATGTTCCCTGGTCCTTGGTTCCCAGTACTGAAGAATAATGGTTGCTGGTACCAGGTTGACAGATCAAAATGAGCAAGACAAACAGATCAAGCAGATCACCAAGATTTACTAATGTGCAGTACTTTCCGGAGGGAGCAGGTCTTTCTCCATGAGTGGAGAAGACCCTGAGTTTAAAGGCAGAGTATAGAAAGTAAGTACACTCTCAAAGTCAGTAGAAAGGCTCGGTGCCTATAGCTCAACCGGCTAAGGCGCCAGCCACATACACCTAAGGTGGCGGGTTTGAATCCCCAGCCCGGACCCGCCAAACAACAATGTTGGCTGCAACCAAAAAATAGCCGGGCGGAGACTCGCTTGAGCCCAGGAGTTGGAGGTTGCTGTGAGCTGTAATACCACGGCACTCTACCCAGGGGGACAGCTTGAGGCTCTGTCTAAAAAAAAAAAAAAAAACAAAGTCAGTAGAAAGTGGATTGCTCCAGTAAGGAACAGCCCCCAGGTTTAGGGTCTGTCCTTTTATGCTAATCCCTAATAATATGCTAAACTGGGATGGAATATTCATGAATTTCCTGGGAAAGGGGTGGATAGTTCCCAGAATGGCAAATCCTCCCCATTTTTAACCTTGTAAGGCAATTTCCAGGGGTTGCCATGACATTTGTAAACTGTCATGATGTAGGTGGATGTGATTTTTACTATGCTAATGAGGGTAGGTCACTTGAGGACACTGTCACCTTGCTTATACTTGTGCTCCAAAGACCTCCCTTTGCAGCCTTGATTACATCTCCACTTTGTGATTTTTCTGCCTTTCTGGTCGGTCAGTCCTTGGGGATCCTCCTCACAGACCAAATATCTGTTCAGTGCTTGGATACCCCCTGGACAAGGTATCTGTTCTTTCTTCCTTTTGATAATTTGTTCCTTCTAGTAGACAAAGCATCCCCTAGTGCCATCTGCTTCTCTTCCTCCCTTCTTGTCCCTCCTAACACTTCTTTGGGGAGCATGTCTGGGTCCTGGCTCAGCACTGGGCCTGACCCCCACCCTGCCCTCTCAGTACTCCCAAAAGCTGCAGCAGAAGATGCAGAACCTTAAAGTGGACATGGACAACTTGGATCTGCTGAGCCCAGCTGCCCACCGGGACCTGGAGGCTCTGCACAACAGCGGGATTGAGAGGATCCGCTACTCCGATTTTCTGGTCCAGGTCAGCAGCAGGCACCTCAGATCCCGCCCCGCCCCCCCATGGTGACAAACAGAAGGCCCACAGAGGGGCTGGGCAGGTCTCTCGCCTTGTCTGGGCTCTCAACCTTCCCTCAACTCCTCCACATGTGTTCTGGGGCCCCTTCTTGTGGGCTCATGGACTGTTCCCAGCCCATGAGCCCATCCTGATGCTACCACCCAGGCCATGCAGAATGAGCACCCTTTCCCTCAAGCCAAGGGCTTATGTCACTTGACCCACTGTTGGGAGTGTGGTGGGGAATAGCTTCTAACTTGAGTTAACCAGAGTGCTTGTTTGGTGGTATTGTTTCTATCTCATTGGAAAAATGCCTGAAATATTTCACAGCCCCAGGTCAAACCTGCTGTGACTGGTGTATCACAACAGACTTCACTGGTGTGGTTTATATTTGGCAAGAATGAGAATCTGAAGGCTGCAGACAGCAGGTGCTGGGGGAGTAGGATCAGCCTTCTTGGCTTCTCCTGTCTGCCCTCAGGTCCAGAAGCCAGTGGTGAAGACCAACATGGAGGAGCTGGCTCAGGACCTGGAAGGGCTGGCCCAAGTGAGCAGGGAGCAGGGCCCCTGGGCAGGAGGAGTCAGAGGGAGCCAGGAAAGGATGGGAGGATTCATACTGGGGAGAAGGGGAGGGGCTTGAGAGTCCCCACCAGTGAGACCTGAGCCCAAGGGTATTAGGTCTGACTGAAGCTTTGCTACCGATTGGTTGTGTGGCCTCAGGAAAGTCAGTCAGCATTTCTGGGCCTCAATTTCTTTATCTGCAAAGTGGATTGTCCTCTGTCGCACATCAGATGAAGTAACTGGTCTGATCTCCTGCAGTTGGGCAAGTGTTTCTAAGTGCAGGCTGCTTGTAGAATTTGCTTGGACATGTGCTGTGAAAACATTGCGATCAATCAGATATCATGACAATTGCCCTCCAGGGGAAAAAGCAGCATTTCGTATTAATAAATACTTAGATGTTTAAGAAATTCTCTTTGAGACATCTCAGATCCACAGCCCCACATGTGGGTAGACCAAGGAATATTCCCCTGCTTCAGCAGGTGCCACTGCAGCTCAGACAGATTCTGTGGCTGATTTAGGGGCACCCAGCCAGCTAGGGCAGACCTAGAACTTGGGCTTAGGTCCTCAAACCCAGGGCAGGCCCTAGAGCTTAAAGGGCCTTGGGTTTCTGCCTCTGAAACCAGCTTACCACCTCCTCTCACTATGCCAGGTTGAAAGGCTGGGTGAAGGGTACACTGGCAAAGCCTGTGCTGTCCCAGGCAGGGGCCATTCTGATGTCTGTTCTCCCTCAGAGCAACCCTGTGCTGAAGCAGCAGCTGCAAGAGGAGGCCTTCAAGCTCAGAAGCCTCTACCAAGAGAAGGTCGCCCCCCAGCAGAGCCTGGTGGTATATTTGGCCTGGGGCCTGGGGGTGGGGAGGATTGTGGAGAGGTCTGTAAAAGAAGAGGGAGGCACTGGGAACCATTCTTCATCCCACCCCTTCCCCCAGCCAGCCCTGATCTCTTTTCCACAGGCAAAGCTCAAACCCAGAGTCCTGGCCTTGGAGTCCTCTGCCCCAACTCTTCAGGTGGCTGCTGGGGGTCGGGGGGAACAGGTGGGATGCAGAGGGAGAGAGGACATGCCTGGGATCTCTCAAGCTCTTCCTGGGCCCAGAGGATGTTGAGGGTGGGGATGGGTGGGCAGAATCTCAAGGACCACCTCCTTTGGCTTACCCCTCTCCCCCACTAAGGTGAGTGTTTTGCATGTTCTACGATGAATTAATGAATGGATGAGTGAATGAGTGGCCACTCCCCACTCCCCAGCTAAGCAGGACCTAGAGTTGAGGCTCTCCTCCCCTCCAGCTGGAGATCGTAGAAGTCCTAGGCAATATCTCTTACCTAAAAGGAGAGCTGCCTGCCTGGGCCACCCGGATCCTGAGGAATGTGAGTGAGGGGCACATGCAGAGGGTTTCCACCCTGGGCTTCCCCTCAGTCCCATCCCCTCACTGTGGATTCCCAGAAACTTGGCCTATCTTCATGTTGCCAAGAATGGTGAGGGGTAGGGGTCTGCTGTTTCTGGGACCCCAGCCAGCCCAGGCCTCTCCTCTTCCCTGCAGGTGAGTGAGTGTTTCCTGACCCGGGAGATGGGCTACTTCTCCCAGTATGTGGCCTGGGTGAGAGAGGAGGTGAGTGGGGCCTCAGCAATGACTGATACCTGCCCCCAGTGGGCTAGTTATTCACCCTGCCCTGAGTCCCTTGGGGGTACCCCAAGCCTTAAGGATTGAACCCAAACCTGGCGTCTGTGCCCTGCTTTCTGGCCTACCCCACCTCTGACTCAGGGAAACTAGAGGACTTCAGCAGCTCTTGCCTCAGAGCCCAGGCGTCTCTACCTGGACTGTCCATACCCTTTCTGAGGTCTGAGTATGGGTGAAGTTGGATGGTATCTCTAGATGTACTGTCATGTGCCTACCTGGGGCCAGCCCTCGCCCAGCTTGTCCAAGGCCAATTGGCAAAGCCTGCCTCCCCATGTGGACACTTGCTGACCACAGCCTGTGCCAGCTGTCTGGACTCCACATTAGATTGGCAGGAGGTATGGCTTCGGCCTGGGTGTGAGTACATGTGAGCATATGCATGTGTATACATATAAACATATGAGGACATGCACACATGTGCTGTCACCTCCGTGGTGACAGTGTGACTTAAAACAGAACTGGGCACACAGCAGGGCCTATTCCAGGCTGGTAAATAGATGAAAAGGGTAGGCACTGAGCAAGGAGCCTATATGAGTGTCCCCATCTCTCTGTGACTTGCATCTGTGTGTATATGTATGTACCTGCCTCTCTGTGTCTGTGTACAAGTGTGTGATGGCCCCAGCTGGGCCCCTGGGCCTCTGTCCCTGTCAACCTCTCTCTCTGAATATGGGGCATACACCTGTGGGTCTGGGTGCCTCCACATCCACCTGCCTCATGTTGCTACCACAGGTCACTCAGCACATCGCCACCTGCCAGCCCCTCTCTGCAGCCTTAAATAATGGCCGGGTGATCCTGTGTGACATGTTGGCTGACCCCTGGGTGAGTGTCCCTTGGCTCATCAGGGTTCATGGGTATGGGGGCCCATGGAGGGCCCTGCTCACACGGTATGAGGCACAGGCTCTGACCAAGGCCTGCAACCAGCCCCTCCCCTCAGCTGTGGGACCACTGACTTCTTGCCCACATTCCAGAATGCTTTCTGGTTCTGCTTGGCATGGTGCACCTTCTTCCTGATCCCCAGCATCATCTTTGCTGTCAAGACCGCCAAATACTTTCGTCCCATCCGGAAACGCCTCAGGTAAGGGGCTGCCAGAACTGCAGAGGGCACCAGAAACCCACAAAAGCATCCTCTTAGCTGCTGGGCCTTGGCTCCCTGCCACACCCCCCTCCTGTGTCCTCCCAGGCAGAGGAGGCTCATGGCCTAGCCCTGGAGAGCCACACACTCTGAGGAGCTCCAAGGCCAGGAAGTTCTCCCATGTGTCTGCCCCATATCCTTCTTGCTGCAATACATCCACCCAGGCTCAGCTTCTTGGGACTCTTCCCATCCCCTGGAAGGCTCCTGAGGAGGGAACATTAAGTCTCTGGGTTTGTCCCCGTGCTGGGGCTGAGGGTGTGTTGGGGGGACTCACTCTCCTTCTGCAACGCTGCAGCTCCACCACCTCTGAGGAGACACAGCTCTTCCACATCCCCCGGGTCACCTCCCTGAAGCTGTAGGACCCAGTGGGTGAGTTTCCCTAACCCCCATATTCCTCAGTGCTGGGAATTAAAGTGGTGAGGAAGGGAGGGCTGGGATCTGGGGACCCCTAAGGGATCACAAAGGTTTGGAGACTTGGTGGGATGTGGGTACTGAGTGTGGCCTGTCCAACAGCATGACTGACAGAGCCCCGCTCTCTCTCACCGTTACCTGTTTCCTTCTTAATCCATAATAGGGCGAGGTGATCCTGGGGCTACCTGTCCTTCCTCTGGCTCAGGGGAACTAGAGGACTCCTGCAGCTCTTGCCTCAGAGCCCAGGCATCCATACCCAGACTGTCCCCAACTCCAGGTTGCCTGGCCCCATCTTGCCTGGTCCCTTCCTGCACCTTTTCTGTTTGTGACCCTCCTTCCTTCATTCTCAAAACCACACTTGATTTCTGATGAGCTATGGAACCAACAGGTTCTTCCAGGTGTCTATTCCTTACTCTTCGTGCTGTAAAATGTCATCATCAGGAAAAGCCTGCCCTTTACCTATTGGAACCCCATCCCTGTCCCCTTAGGCTGAAGAGAGGCTTGTCCAACTCCCTTACCCCCATCATCCCCTCCTTGCCCGTGTTGCTCATCTGCCCCCCACCTTCCTCAAGTTCCCTTCTGTGCCCTCCCTAGCCCTTGCTTCCTACTTCCAGGGAAGTCCTTTCCCTCCCTGTCCCTGCCCCCTTACCTCATACCCTCTGCTACGTTGCTGGTCCCAGGGACCCCTCCTGCATAACCAAACTAATCAGGTAAAACCACCAAGCAAGGAGGGGCCACCGTGGTCATGTCTAGATTAGCTGCAGGCTCTGCCTCATGGTTTCCAATCCCCCACCATCCTAAGACCTTGGACCCTCTGCAGGACCCTCTGGATTTACCAGCCACCACTGGGGTGAAGGAGGTTTATCTAAAAGCCAAGCCTTCTTGCCTGTGCTCCAGGTTAGAAATGTTAATGCTGGCACTTAGCTCCTCTCTGATCACTGGCCCCAAGGAAGGAACCTGGGACCAGCGCCTGAATGGGGGTTCCCCCTAGTCTCCCCAGAAGGTAGCATCTTCCTGGTCCATACCCAGCTTTCCCAGGAGGGATCTGGTGACCCAGTAGGATTTTGCACTGTCCCTTCTATCCTGTGCCAAATAACCTGGGGTCACCCCTAGCACATCCCTGTGTCATCCCTGCATGCTGGACCCCGAGTTCCACAAATGAGGAAGAGGGAGAGGAAAGAGACCTCAGATCCATTAACATCTTTAAGCCTTGGTTTGGGGTCATTAAAACCAGGTCTTCCAGGTTAAAGCCCTGTACACAGTTGATGTTTAATGAGTATTTATGAAGAGGCGAATTCCAAGGCCTCCTCTAACTATAGGCATCAGGGAATATTCCAGCAATGAGGAGTAGGGCCTAGGGTGAAAGCATACTGGGTTCACAGCCTGGCTCTGCTGCTTGTTAGCTGGGACATCTTGAACATGTAACACAGGTGCCCTAAGCCATGCATAAAATGGGAGAAGAGTCACAGCCTCTTCACAATGTTGGGAAGATTAAATGTAATAATGCATGGAAAGTCATCTGCAAGGGCCTGGCACAAAACAAATGCTCAGTACATGGGAGATGCTCTCCCCTCATCCATGCTCACCATGACTGCTTTGGGCCTGAGCAGAGACAGCATTTGGGTTTGGGAAGATACCAGGGAAGTGGGAGACTGGTCCCTGTTCAAAGCTAGAAAGCCCTTTAAGACTGTGGTCTACTGGGTTTCAGGGAGTGTTTATAATCATATCTTACAAACCAGTAACAAACTTTATACTAGAAATTAGGATGGTGCATACATAATGTACCGTCAGTTACAAGCACATACTGGAACAAACATCCTTGCATATGGCACAATTGCCTCTTTTTGGCTTTTCCCAGAGGTCTTTTTTTGCTTGTTACTCATCCGTTGACCTATGTGGAGGAAGCAACACTCTGTATTTTAAAAATGCAATTGATGGTATTAAAACAGATGAAATAGAAACAATTAAAAAATCATTTATAGTTCTCTATGAAAATTACTTCCTTTATCTTTTATATATTTGAGCATATTAAATATAATTATTTCAAAGTTCAGTTACTCCCTTATTTGAAGCTTCCATGAGTCTGTTTCTAGTGTCTGTTGTTTCTCTTGCTTTTTTGTTAGTTTTGTCTTGTCTCCTCACATACTTGGTGATTTTTGATTGAGTATCACACATTGTATCTGAAAATCTATAGAAATAAGTTCAGAACTAGGATGAAGTTATCCTCCTCCATGAGGATTATGTTTATATCTGGCAAGTAGCTTGGGATCTAGCATACTGGGATCACTCTAATCCACTTGCAGGGAATGAGATGATTTGCAGTCACTTGGAGAGATGATCTACTTTCAATTCAGTCATATTCCTAGGGTAAAGTTTTCTGGGATCCCAACCAAAACCATGAAAGATTTGCTAGGAGTACTTTCCTCTTGGTGGGCTTTGTGTTATCTTCTGGAATCAGCAGACCCTGTAGGGAGAAAGTAGCCCCAGATGCCAGATGTATATCTCTGGATTTCTTTCTTTTCCCATTCGTTAGTCCTGTGATTTCTCATTGCCTTGTTCGTTCTCCAATATCCTCCACCAGACTTAAATATATATACATATGCATATATTAAATATATATAAAACTTTAAAAGCTGCTTGAAATGATACACACACACACACACACACACATTTTAAGCAGATGATTTTAACTTGTCCTTAGCTGGGGATTTGGTCCAAATCACCTAGTCCACTGTTTGCTTGTTTTTTTAAGACAGAGCCTCAAGTTGTAACCCTGGGTAGAATGCTATGGCATCACAACTCACAGCAACCTCCAACTCTTGGGCTTAAGTAATTCTCTTGCCTTAGCCTCCCAAGTAGCTAGGACTACAGGCACCTGCCACAACGCCTGGCTATTTTTTGGTTGTAGTTGTCTTTGTTGTTTGGCAGGCCCGGGCTGGATTCGAACCCGCCAGCTCTGGTGTATGTGGCTGGTGCCTTAGCCACTTGAGCTACAGGCGCCAAGCCACCTAGTCCACTGTTATTAGACGTTGTGGTCCTAAAAATATTGACTTTGATATTCTCCCTTATACATTAGGGTAGGGCTGCCACTCTGAATTTACTGTCCAGAAACCTTGGTCCAGCCAACTGAACATTAGCTTTGCAAAGAAGTTTTGTTTACAGAGCATAACTGTAGTCGCCTGGGGGTGAGGGTGGCTCTTGGCAATTGACAGAGATAGAATTAGCTACAGAGAAAAATAGATTGCCTATTTTTCTGGTTTTGAAAATGCTAGGATCCTAAAATGCTAGCACTACTTTATATGTGAAACAAGGCCCTTCGAGGCCACAACCTTGTCTGTCATTATGACAGTCTCTGAGGGGGGTGAATCATCATCTGTGGTTGAGTAGATGAGGCTCCAGGAAGTTACATGGCTAGTTCAAGTTTTCTAAGTTGAAGCCCAGCCAGGCTTTGGATTCATGTCCTCTGACCCTGGTGGCCCTGGAGGTTTCTTCCTGGGTGTGCTGCCAGTCCCCATTCCTTGTCTCCAAGGAGATTTGAACCAAATGTCCTTGTGTCCCTGTGGCAGGAGGGATAACAGATTGGGGGCCCTGGGAGTTTGGCCAGACGCTCCAGCATGGCCACCCAGCAAAAGGCCCTATGGCAGATTCTGACAAAGGCATACCAGATGGGCCTGGGAGTCTGAGGTCCCAGGTGGCCAGTCAGGGCAGCTCTAGCTGGCTCGAGGTATGCAAAGGGAGGGCCACATGACTGGGGTGAGAACCTGCCCAGGCTATCTAAAGGGACAAACAATGTGAGTTAACATTGAGCTCTGAGGAATAAACCAGGAAGTGTGCTAAGCATTTTACATGGATTAACTAAGAGGTGGGCATGTGATTTATCTATTTGATAGTTGGGAAGGCGCAGAGAACGGATGTGGGCTGAGGAGAAAGGGTGACACTCAAAGACCCACTGATAATGTTGGCATTCAGGCCATATCCTAAATTCTCTGGAATCAGCCCAAGGCCCTGACTCTGGGCAGTTGTGTACAGTGTCCCTCTTCCCCACCCTCCTAGAGTCAGGGCTCCTGAGTCTCACCTCCTGGTGTCCTGTCTGTCTAAGCTTGAATGCCAAAGGCTGAGCCAGAAGGCTGGTGGCCAGCCTGGTTCACATACCATGGAGAGAGGGGAGGCCAGGGCAGCTACTTAGGTGCTACTATAATGAAGCACCTTCTTAGAGGTCCCCGACCATTCCTTGTATGTGCTGGGTGTTCCAACCCTGGAGCAGTTCACATCACATTCCTATCTAAGGAATGTTGACTAAGTGGGGTAGGGAGTGTGCAGAGAGATGACCCCTGAGCTCTGCCCATGAGTGATACAGAATATCGGAAAGAGGTGGCCTAAACATTAACCACCTTAGAGTACCAGGTGTCAGGTGTTAGGGTTAGAAGATTTTAGGGAGATGAGTTGTGCCCAGGGGTTTAGGTGAGGTGTCTTCCCATTACTTTAAGCCAGAAAGTGTGGGCCTTTAGAGAGAGTCCCCAGAGAGCTCCAGGCATCCTCTGCAATTTGAGAAATCCAGTGGATGGATGCCTCACCTCCTATGAAGTTTAGAGGGGAAGAAATAGGCTGGCTTCTTTGATGGCAGAGCTAAGAAGAGGACCGACAGAGGCCCCTCATGCGAGAGTCAGCATGGAGTCTCCACCTCCAGTCCCAGGAGGCCACCTGGAGAGTGCACAGACCTCAACCAAAAAAAGATAGAGCTGCCACTTGGTGTCAGGGCTCCTTGGTTCCCTGAGGTTCATGTGAAATACCCTAGTCCTCCACAGGGGTACTGCGGGGAGGTTCCCAGCAATGACCAGGCTCTGAGGACTCTTGGTGGTGAATACAGGAGAAACCCAGAGCCCAGTTCAGCAGGAGACTGACCACATACTCTTTCCGACAACCAGGCCTGAGCAGGGCCAGGAGTGGCCTGGACATCAGAGCAGAAGTATTGACGATGACATGGACCTGGACATGAGCTGAGACTGTGTTGCGTGATGTGAAGTGATAGGGACCATTTCTATTTCCCCAGCAAGACGCATATTGGGCCTGTCAGACTTCCTCCTCCCCATCCACAAGGTCCCCTTTCCTCAGCTAGAGCCCCAGGCCTGAGAAAAAGGGGGCGCCAAGAGCCTGGGGAGGAGGGATTTGAACTTGGGCCTGGAGCAGAGGGACCATGAACAGCAATTGAGGAAGGTCCAGACCCCTAGATTTGCAGGTGGTGGGGTGGCCTGAGCCCCTACCTGGATAGGATGAGAGTAAGGGCCCCTAGTCAGCTAAAACAACTCACCACTACCTCCTCAGACATCGTGACATGAAGAAACTCAACTTCCATCCAGTCTTGAAGTCTTTCCTTCCTTTTCTACTTCCAAACTCCCTCCCCCTACCATTGTGAGGGAAGCCATAGCTGAATGTCCCTCGCTGATAAATTGGGGTCCTCCTGCAGCTTCCCTTAATCTAGTGGTCTGAGAGACTACCAAAAGTTCTCAGGAAATGTAAGACTCTGGAGAAAGTTTGTGAATGCCATGTGCCCATGGGTAGGCCCATGGGAGGAGCTGCCCTGGCCTCCTCTCCCTCCAGCCCTTTCTCACTGGGGCCTTCCCTACACGCCCAGTGGAAGGATCTACCTGGAGGTACCTGGGACGAGGGACAGGGGAGACGACATGGAACAAGGATCATGGCAGGGCACACACCTCCTGGGTGGCAGCAACAGTGGGATATTGCCACAGCCCGAGGGCCTGGTGGGGCCAGCAGGAAAGGGCAGTCATCCAAGGTCTGTTTTGCTGAAGCCTATTAACTCTGGAGAAAACATCTCTGAGTAGAGGATGCCAGTGAGTGACTCTTCAGAGGATGGCCTTGGTTAAGATGGAAGGGGGGACTTCTCTGGTCCTCCCTCCACAGACCTTGCCACAAGAAAGACTAGTCTGTTCTGGGCAGTGTGATAGGCAAGTTTCCAAGCTGATGTACAAAACACGTGCCTAATAACCCATCAGGCAGGGTCTTGGCCATAGTTCTCACTTTAAGATGAAAGCAACAGGCTTTACATAGTGGCTTTGTTAACTTTCTAGCCTATGACTCAAGCAAACCTTTTATCGTTCCTCGGACTTACTGGTTAGCATTTATAGAGAGAGACAAGGACACTTCCCTCCCAAGGCCACTATGAAGATTCAACATACTCAAGTGTCCCTCCTTGTGGGCGCTGGCTTGGAGCCAAAGGAACAGGGCTGTCCTGGGTGGTGAAAGGCCAGGGGACCCCCACCCCCACCCCAGGGAGCACAGCCAAGGGGGCTTTGCCCTCCATCTCTCCCCAGGGTGCATCCATGGGCTGGGAGTCCTGGCTGCTTAGCCGCTTGCCCAGAGGGAGGTGCAGCCTGTCCTGACATCCCTGTGGGTCATACACCAGGGCTGCTGCCTTCCCTCTGGGAAGAGCCCTCTTTGCCTCAGTGGGTCAACAGCTTCAGCATTTTTTCTTCCCCTGAGGATCAGAAAGTTGAAGCTAATTGGATGACTCCGAAGGGTTAGCAAGTGCTGGGTGCAGACTGCAAAGGAGGGGAGGGGAGGAGGGGGCGCGAATCAGGGCTCCGTTTCCATGGGAACCACTGGCACAGACCGGCTCCTCAGGGCGCCAAAAAGGGAAACTTGGCAAAGGTTTCAGCACCTGGCTGCTGGGTGGTTTCCCTGGAGCCTGGGCAAAGGCCCAGGAGCCCCCCTCTCCCAGGGAGGCCCAGACACCCTCACCCCTCCCCACCCCACCCCCATCCCCTTGGAGATCAGCTCAGGTCCCTTACCCACTCTGAATTCGGTCCCAACCCCAGACACAAGTGGGGACTGAGGACGCTTGGGGAGTGTAAGGAGCTCATGCTCTGGGGAGGACTCTCATACTGCAAGGCCCTGTGAGGGGTCAAAAGGAGGTAATGAACAGGGTGGAGGACAGATCAGAGAGGCAGGAGGATCCCCAGTGTCACCCAGCTAATGCTACCTGGTGGCTGTTGCTCTCTCTGGGTGATGAACCCCCATCTGCAAGGACCTTGCAGACCAGCACCTCAGGTGAGGTCCCTGAGGGAAGGATGCTCACATGCACCCCCTACAGTAGTGGCTTCAGCTGTCCTGGGGACCTATAGGACTAGCGCATCACTAGGGTCCCACTGCTGTGTCTGTGAGGGGACAGACTAGGGTCGCACTTATGTCTGTGAGGGGACAGGCAGGATGGGGGAGGGGTTGGCTTGTTCTGGAAAATGTCTCCGGGTGGCTCTCTGGGCTCCATGGCTGCCCCTCCTCCCCCAGGCTTGAGGCAAGAGCTCTCCTCCCCCTAGTTCCCTAACCCCACCTTTCCCTCAGCCAGAGAAGAGTGTTAGAGAAAGGGACAAATGCTACCCGCGACAGGGTAGGGGACAGGCCAGGATTAGGGACCATGTAGAGAAAGAGTGAGAGTGAGAGTGAGAGAGAGAGAGGAAGGGAGAGAGGGAGGGAGGGAGGGCGGGAGGAAGGGAGAGAAGGCAGGGGGTGGAGCGGTAGAAGCCTGCAGGCAGGGAGGGAGGGGTGGGCAGGGGGCGGGCAAGAAGCCACCGGTGACAATTACGTCTGGGTCCAAGCAAACATGAGGCAGCTGCCAGAGGGCTGGGGCAGTCCCTCTCGCCTGGGCCACGAAGTGGGGAGGCCGGCAACAGTTTCTTCCAGCACCCAGGATGCAGGAGGCTAAGGTAGGCACCGCAGGATGTGGGCTTGCCCCAGGATGGGGAGGAGGGCTTCTGGGGCTCCTGCTGCACCTGGGAGCCCTGTCATGGCTCCTTCTTTCACTCCATCCCCTTTTGTCCCCTGTAAGGTTGCTTGGGGGAGGTAAGTGTTGAGGTGTCCTGGCAGGGAGGCTGGAGTCCTCTAGCCTCCTTTGGATGGGAGAGGCTTTAGGAGTTTGTGGAAGAGAAGCTGGACAGAGGAGAAGCCGGTGACAGGGCAACTGAAAGGTGCTTTCTTTTCTGTCTCCTCTCAGGTCAGCCCTTGGCTGGTCCTGCTTAGTTAGGTCCCTGGGGCAGGTGCCAGAACAGCGCCCCCCCCCACCAAAGCTTGGCCCCACAGCACTTAGGGCTGGAGGAGGGGTGAGTCCCAGGAGGGGGTCATTTATGCTTAGAGGACTAGCTCATCCAAGTGGTCAGTGAATGCATCTTCTAATTAATCATTCAAGCAACTCGTGAATACCCTCTTCTAAACAGGCTCTGAAACCCCTAACAAAGACTCCTGTTAGTAGTTCTCCATCAGTGGGGCTGTTAGAAGGTTGGAGAAAGCGAACACAAGGAAAATGCTTGGCATAGGGTTCAAGAAACAGTGGTAGGGAGAGAGGAAGGATGAAAAAGAATTAAATGAAGAAGCAAGGAAAATAAGCTGAAGCCCCTTCCCCTCAAGACCACAGTTAACCTTCAGAAAATCTGGCCTGATGCCCTGTGACCTGCTCACATGCTTGGAATAGTTTTGCTTTGGAAGAAGAAAAAAGCACCAGGATTAGGTCTCATAACAGAACTCCCCAAGTACAGCTTTTTAGAGCAAAGCTGGCTGCAGTTTTCTCTGGTGCAGAAGAAGTCCAGGGGCAGGCAAAAGAGGGCTGCCAGGGGCTCCTGGTCAGCAGGGACTCAGCCTCTGCCTGTCTCATCCTTGAGGTTGCCTAAAGGGCCAACATGGCTGCTGGAGCTCCAGCCAGCACATGTAGTCAGCAAGAAGGAGAAAGGTAGGAGGCCAAAGGACCCAAATAAAATCAGGGTTTTGTAAATAAGAAAAAATGGATATTGGCTTGGCATCCCACAGTCTCTCCCCCCAGTGATGGCTTCCTGCCTCTCTGTCACCAGTGAGAACAAGCAGCCCAGAGCAGGTTAGTGGCTGGCTTCAGGCCACACTGTCTGCAAACCCCAGGGCCCCTGCCCTTTCTGGTTCATTTCCCAGGAGTGCCAGGAGGATAGGCAGAGGCGATGACATGAAGCCTTTTGAGCACAGCGACACGGCTCATCAAAAAAGGTGCTTTCTCTCCTGTCACATCAAGTCTCCCCAGCAACTGCCAGGCAAAGCAGGGCATAGCAGAGAAACTTCATGCCTTGTTCCAGGCTCACACACATGTGCTCACTGCACAGATATGCCATGCACAGCACAGGCCATGTACATGCCAGGGAGCAGTTTGACATGTGCTGCATAGCCACATATATGGCACAGAGACAAGTCGAGTGACCCTTTGAGTCCACAGAGGCAGAGATTTCTACAGAGTCAGGCTGCACACAGATGTGCACAGAGCCAACTCTGTCCACCAGCAGAGGACAACCCACTTCCTTTGCCTTTCCTTTGCTGGCCCTAATTTCCAGCAGTCACTCTAGGAGCTTGGTCACCCCTCCCCATGTAGACAGCAAAGTGACTGTCCCCCGGCCTGCAGGGGCATCAGGCCCTCCCCTTGGCCATTGTGTTCCCACACTGCCCTCTGCCCTCCATGCAGCCTGCTCCTGGGCCCAGTGATTCTCTCTGTCCCCCAGTGACCTTCCTGTGGTTGGCTTGGCCTGAGACAGGAGCAAGTCCCATCTGGTATTAGGCTAGGTGGGGACAGTGGTCCTAGAAGAAGCTGCCACTGGGTCCCTCATCAAAGTTGGCACAGTGGTACAATCAGGGCACAGGCTAGGAGCTGGCCTGACTCCACTGTCGTGGTTAGTGACTGTCCCCAATAATTCCCCATGGCTGTGCCCTCAGCCTTCTCTCTGCACTCCCAAGTCATTCAGTAATCCTTACCTCATTCCCAGGAGGCAGGCACTGAAACTCAGATGGGACCAGCTAATCTCAGCCTCAGGATTCCATGAGCCAGAGTCCATTGGCTCTTAGGGAGAAGGAGCCGACAGAATGCCAGCTCTGCGGACAAGGGCTACCATCCTGGGGCTGTAGGGTGTGAAGTTCCCACACACTGGGAACTTCTCCTGCCTGGCTTTCAGCCTTCTTGCAGGGTACTTGTGGGAGATAAACCCTAATTTGCTCTCCTATTTCCAAAGACAATAGCTGAAGCTACAGGTTGCCCTAGGGGAGGAAGGTGGCCCTGTCTCTGCTCTCCAGGTGGAGTCTAGGAGAAGGTCTGGGCTGAGGAATTGGGGCCCTGAAGTGGCCACTCCTTGCTCCATCCAGGCCATGGTTTCTGGCATTGTCTCCCTGATCCTCACGCAGGCCACTAGGTAACTTCAGTTATTGTCCCCACTTAGTAGATGAGAAACAGAGGTCTGCCCCGGATTGCAGTGTATCCCAGATACAAAGTGTTGTAGCTGGGATTTGAACCCTGCTCTGTCTTACTCTAAAGTTCCCTAGGGTTGGGGGACCATGAGTGAAGAACAAAAGGGACCAGGCTGCCCCCATCCCAGCCAGGGGGCCTGGCTCCCTGGGCTTGTGGCCTATTGCACCCTCTGAACCCTTTAGTGAGTGTTCCCAAACCAGGCCTCACCCTGGTCACATCCTCTGTGTTAGCTCGACCTTGAGCCAGATGCCCACCTCCTTTTTGGGCTGAGGATCCAGAGCTATGAAAGAAAGGACCTCAGGGTTCTGAATTTAAGATCCCTTTTCTTATCAAAATGTTCTGCAAATTTGGAGAGCTGCTTTGCTGATTCAGAGGCTGGGGCTTAGAGCCCTTTTGCTTCCCACGCTTACCCTGTGGCATCTTTGGTGACTTCTAGGAGTAGCTACAGAGCCTCAAACATGGTCTCTGAGAGGAAGAAGACACTCTTGGCTTCCAATGCAAAGAAAGAAGAGGGGAAAGAAGTTGGCACACCTTCCTTAGCTGGTGTTCCAGCCCCAGGGCAAGAAGGAGACAGAGCAGGAGGGAGGGCGCAGTGTGGGCAAGTCACTGTGCTGCTCCCTGCCTGCAGCTCCCCACCCCTAGCTCACCGCTGTTTCCCTCGAACAGGTGCATCTGTCAGTTGTGATCAGCCCATGTCCTAGAAGGCCACAGTGGGCACGTAACAGGAACAGAGCGAAGGGGACCTGCAGGCGTTAGAGTTGGAGCAGCTGAGCTGAGGCAGGAGGGCAGCTGAGAGGGGGCCTGTCCCATGCCGTGGTTGGCCCAGCCTCCTCCTCTGATCTGCTGCCTCAGCCCCCAGCTGGCTGGCCATGCCTGAGCCATACTCAGCTGGGCACAGCAGCTGCTCTGCCTGCTACCTCCTACCCTCCCCCTCCTCTGGGGCAGGCAAGGGAAGGGGCTCCAGTCCCCCTCCTGCTGAAGCTGCACGCCCCTATACACAGCCCTGTTTTAAGATCCTCTCGCAAGATGGGCATGCTGGAAAGGGACCCCAGAGAGTGAAGTTCTAGCCCCAACTTCACCCTGTTGACTCTGGGCTGGGCCTGTTGCCTCTCTAGGTCTTAGTCTTCCTGCCAGGGCCTGAGATGCTCCTAGTTTCTGCCAGGCCCCCATCAGGGCTGATGCCCTGTATGGATTAGTGGGGGACTAGAAGGACACAGGCCTCAGGGACTCAGCCACCAAATGTACCACAGTGCAGCTTTCCCTCCAGCCCCTCTACCACCACAAGTGCCCACAGGCCTATCAGAGTCCCAGTCCTCACCCTTTGGTATTGAAGGACCCTGGCCGGAAGAGGGAGGTGGACTGGGGAGGTGTCGCAGCTGTACCTTGTCATCTAGTAGCTTCAGTTCCATATCAGAGAGACCTGGGCTCAGACCTGGACCCTTCATGCATTGGCTGTGTGTCCTCAGACAAGCTGTGTCATGGTCTCCTCATTTTCCTCAGAAAAGTATGTATGATTTTTTAGATAAATAAGATCCTATACCAGCTAGGTTGGCCAAGGCCCCTGGTACAGGATGAGAGCTCCATAAATGGCAGGAATGCCAATGCTATTATTTTCTGGCTGCTGATTAGAGCCTGGGAAGGGACCTCGTAGAAAATGTTGCCATGAGCAGCTCAAGTCAACCCCTGTGCAAACATGACATCCTCGTTGCTGGCAGTGGGAGGAGCTTATGTCCTGGTCAAGGGGGCAGCCATCAAGGGCTAGGCCAGGAGAACCCAGTTCTTCAGTTTCCTGTTCCAGTGCTCTGAGAGGAGCAGCACCCAGGGCCCTGTGTGTGTGTGTATCTGTGTGTACACGTCGATATATATACATGTGTATGTGTGTATGCTTGTGTGCATATAGGTATGCACAGGTGTGTGAATGCACGTGTGCATGCATGTAGGAGTGTGTGTAGGTGTGTGTATGCATACATGCACACAGGTAGGTACATGGATGTGATATGTATAGGTGCACATCATTTGAGGTGTGCGTGTGTTTATGTGCATGCATGCATCTACAGGGACTCATTACAATCTTGGCTCTCCCCTCACTAGGCAAGCTGTCTGGCCCACATCTGCGTGTGCTGAGGGTGGTGGTGGTGGAAAATCCAAGCTCCCCAAAGCCTCTCCATTCCAAATCCTGGGGCCCACACAACACAACACAACACAACACCCACCTCTGCTTCCTGCCATCTGTCCCGACTGATGGAAATAGAACGAGCGATGACACATGAGTGCTGGGTGGGCCAGTCCGTGCTGTGGCTACCCTATGTGTAGGGGAGGCAAGGCAGCCTCACTCCTGAACAGCCCTGCATGTTCCCTGCCAGCCCAGGCAGTGGCCTCAGGACAGCCTTCCTGGAGATCTCTGCCCCCCTCAGACAAGGCCCAGAATGTTCTATCCGGTAGGACAAATACACTGAATCT